TTTAAACTTTGCTGGCCAGAAACCAACAGGTTTGGAACAAAAACATCACCGGGGGCCCGAAGCGGGGCTGGGCGGCCCCGTCGGGACACTTCGTGTAGGTTCGGTCCCGGCTGTTTTGCGGAGCGGTGCGGGAGCGGCTCCGCATCCCGGACGGCCCCGAGCGATGCTCGCGGTGCGGTCGGGTCGGGTCGAGCTCCGGGGGCTGCGGGTAGCGGGCGTCCCCCGGCCGAACAGCAGCATCTGGTGGTGGCTGCGAGCAGAGCCCGGCTGAGAGCAGAGCACGCGTTTGTTGCGGTTCCGGCCGTACGTTGCGCTCTCATCCCTGCACCTCGGCCACGCAGCGTCCCCGTGTTGCAGCATCTTTGCAGCTCAGGATCCTTGCCAAACATCATCCCCACACGCCCTGGTATTCCCGGCAGTGCCTCAGCCCTGCAGAGCAAGCACACGTTGTGCTGGCAATGCTCAGTTTGCATCACCTTGGGATCCAGGCTGTGCATCACCCTCGCATTGTGGGTTCCCAAGCTGCATGCTACCCCTGTACCCCAGGCACGCATTTTCCCATTTCTTGGGTACATGCCACCCCAAATTTTGGCTCTCTTAGCCGCGCTGCATCCCTGCACCCCAGCCACACACATCTGCATCCCAGCCACACGTCATCCCTACATCACAGGATGCCCCATCACACAACCCCCCTTCCCCCCACTCCAACATCCCATGCTCTTTGCCCATGTATTACCCCATATCCTGGCCTCCCCATGCATTGTTTCATCCCCACACAGCAGCTCTGTGCCGGGGTCCCCACACTCAGCCCCATGCTTTGCCCCTTCCCCATACCCAGCCTCTCCCCTCTCCCAGCAAACATGTACATTAGCTGGCCTCAACTGATGTCAAGGCGCCATTAATTGCCTCTCCTCGTTACAGTAATAGCTCTAATCACTCATAACGATTTTCACATCCCAGCGTGGCTTTGCCTCTCCCCCCTCCCCACCCCCCCTGCCCATTTGTGCTCCATTAGGATGCAGCCCACCCGCAGCCATAGGGGCTGCCCCAAATGGCTCTGCCTGGAGCCATTGAGGACGAGAACACCAGGGTTACAAGTTGGAGACAATGGGACCAGGATGGGGACACCGGAGCTGGGAACTGGGCAGAACTGACCCCCCTCTGCTGCTTTTAAATAAGGCATCCCTGTGGTCACCGGGAAATGCTGCTCTGGGACACTTCAGCAGCACTTTAGCTGTGCCTCATTAGTGCTGAGATGCCTCTGCAGCCCCCCTGAGATCTCCAGGCCGGGGGGAACCAGGCCCACAAGTGCACTTAGGAGACACACAAGGTCTGGTCAGTGCTCATCCGCCCCAGGACCCACGGCGCCGGGATGCAGCTGCAACCCCACATCTGTCACCACCACCATATGATCCCCCCCTAAAGTGGGAAACCCCAAACTGGGCAATCCCATACACTGTCCCTGTAACGAAGCAGCCCCTGGGGCCTCCTCCTGCCCCATCCCCATGGGGTGTCCCACAAGGGCATCCCTGGTACCACAGCTCCATCTGAGGTGGGAGCAGAGCCAGTAACACGAGCAGCACTAGCGGTAGCCCGGATCCAGGCAGGATGAGGCTGCACCATGAAAAATCCCTTTGCAGCCCCATTGGATACAGGATGAGGTCTGGGACCCTGGCAGGGCCCTGTCCCCAGCTCGGCTGCTGTGCTGCTAAGAAAGGAACTTTCCCAAGGAGCAGAGCCGTTAATTACCTCATTGCCAGAGTCCATTACCGCTCCCCCTGGAGCAGCTGAAATGGAGAAACTGTGGGGTGGGGATAAATCAATCAGAGCTGCACATTTCTGGGAGCGGGGCTTAACCCTTCCCTCTCTGCCCCACGGGGAAACTGAGGCACGACCGCAGGGAAACCCACACCCGCCCCCCCCCCCCCCCCCCTCCATACACGTGGTGCTCTCATATCGCCACACTCAGGTCCTTTTTGGGGGCAGTTTGGTCTTTTTGCTGTGCTTGGACAGCGCGTGGCCGCTGCTTCCCCTCTGCGGGAACAGTATTGACCCAAGAGGCAATTTGCAGTGCAGCGCTGGAAAAGCTCACAGTTGTAATCTTGTTCCTTCCTCAAATTAGATAAGAGGGAAAAGCCCATAAATCAGCGCAGGCAGAGATTAGAGAACCCCAAGGAAGGAGGGCACTCTCCTCTGGTCATGCATAAGTGGGGGCACTGCCACCAACTCATGAATAAGGGCTGCATGTGGGGCACCGCTTGGCCCCCCCTGAGTCCCAGCAAAACTCTGGGGTTTAAAAAGGGGACAGGAACCACAGCCCCACTGCAAAGCAGCTGTTTGCACACCTGCATGGCAGCCCCAAGGCTCGCTGCCTCAGTTTCCCCATTGGCTCAGGGCTGGCATTGAATGTCACCCATTTTGCTGGCCGCCACATCCTACCCTGGGGCTGGCAGCTGGTGTTGTGCCCTCTGCAGGGAGGGGATGGCAGGGGCTGAGTTACGTGCCAGGGACACTGAGGACGGCTCTGGTTTCCTACTGTTCCTGCTGTGCTGCATGCAGCCCCAGCCATCCGGCACAGTACAGCACCACAGCAACGCACCTTGGCACAGTGCTGCTCCATGGCACGGCAATGCACCGTGCCTCAGTTTCCCCAGGTCTCCTCTTCCCTCTCCTTATCTCAGGTCACAGTGGGTAACAAAGGAGCTGCCAGGGCCCAGCCTGCACTGCCTAATTAGCCAGATGAAATCAATTCTGCTCCATTACAGTCAGATCCAGGTCTCAAACATTACCAAGGCGGCCGGAGAGCCCTGGGAAGGATGATTAAGTGGACGCTACAGGGCATTTGATAACCCCATGGCTCCGGTGACAGTGCGTGGGGAAGGGAAGGCTTTGCCCTTTGTTTGGGGGTTTGGCTTCTTCATCCCTTTGTGCTCAAAGGGTCCCCACCCCACACCTCTAGCACAAGGATTCACCTGCTGTGCACAGCCCTGGGTCAGCTAGAGAGTCCCTGAAGTGCCTCCATGTCCCTCTTTGGGCTGGGGACAACATCCCCCTCCCCTGCACCTTGGCTTTGCACATCCTCACCCCTTTCCTAACCCAAACCCACCCGTCAGCACCACCAACCCACACCTCATTCAGTGCCATGGAATGGAAACAAGCCATCCCTATGCCACCACGTCTCCTCTGCTCCCCTTCCCCTGCCCCAAAAAGCAGACTTTCTCCCCAGAGCACCTCCCCCTCCCTGGCACTCAGCAGACACTCCATGGGCAGCCAGCTGGCAGCTCAGCAGAGAAGTAGACACTTTTATTACCGACCAGGATCACCGCAGACTGGGAGAGCACGCAGGGCATCCATCTGGCCAGGCACTGGGATGGGGAGGGATGGAGCAGCCATGACACCGAGCAGCCAAGTGCCCCCCCCGCGGGGCTGGGGGTCCTGGTTGTGTCGCTCTAGGGGCAAACCCACAGTAGGGAAATGCCACAGCCACAGCCCCCCCCACCGCGGGCACAGCTCCAACCCTACAGCCCCCCAGGGGGCTCGCTGTGACAAACAGAGTTTAAACCCCTCTCTCCAGTATCAGGGCATCTGTCCAAGGTGTGGGGACAGTGGGAGCAGTGCCGGAGCACTCCGGCCAGCCTGGGGGTGATGGGGTTCCCTCTCAGCCCAGGATGTCCAGGTAGATGGGAGGAGTCTTGACCAGGGCCTGCAGGCGGCTGTGGATGTCCTGGATGCGCTGGCGCTGCTGTGGCTCTCGCTGCCAGCAGCTCTGCATGATGTCATACACCTCGGAGGGACACGTGCGGGGTCGCTCCAGCTCCCGGCCCTGCGTGATGCACTCGATGGCCTGTGGGAGCAGGGGGACGTGGAGCCCACAGCCCCCATCCGGACCCCACAGAGCGAGGGGGGTCCCTCGCTTTCCCCCATCCCACATGTGGATGCGGTGCCAAGCCCAGATCCGTGCTCAGCCCCATGCGCAGACCCCGCGTTGAGCCCACCTCGGTGTTGGAGAGCTGGTACCAGGGCTGCTTCCCGTAGGTAAAGATCTCCCACAGCACCACGCCGAAGCTCCAGATGTCACTCTCAGTGGTGAACTTGCGGTACAGGATGCTCTCAGGGGGCATCCAGCGGATGGGCAGCATGGTCCGACCACCCACCTGCACAGAGCAGAACGATTAGCGTGGACCCCCCCCTCCCCCGGCCCTCCCCTTCCCAAACCCCCACTGAGCACTCAGCAGCACCATTAAATATGGACGGGGCTGTGGAAGGGGCAGCAGATGAAATGGAAATTTGAGGCAGGGAAGGCGCGGAGCTCACCCGGTAGTAGTCGGTGCTGTAGATATCACGGGACATGCCAAAGTCCCCGATCTTCACCACCAGGTCGTGGCCCACCAGGCAGTTGCGGGTGGCCAGATCACGGTGCACAAAGTGCAGGGATGCCAGGTAGACCATACCTGAGGCGATCTGCGTGGCGATTTGCAGCATGTGGCTTAACGTCAGCTGCCCGCAGGGCTGCCCCTGCCCTTGGTCCAGGATCTTAGCATCCGGCCCGTGGGACCTGGCAGAGCAGAAGGTACTCAGTGCGTATTTGTGCCTGGAAGTGCATTTGGGAGATGCTGTGTGTGCGTGCAGGGAAAGTACATGCATGTGTGCAGCCACACAAGGTGCAGTACATGTGTGTGCACGCATGGTGGGGAAGGGAGTGCATGTGTGTGTGCACAGCCACAGGAAGGCATACACGTGTGTGCACACGTGTCCAGGATAGAGAAAGCTGTGTGCATGCTGGGAAAGCAGCCATGCCAAGGAAAGCCATGCACCTGTGTGCATGCGTGCTGAAGAGCACATCAACCTGTGTGTACACGCATGCATGCAGGGGAAACCAGGCATAAGAGAGCACGCATGCAGAAGAAGCATGCACACACACACACACACACACACGTGCATGCAAACGGGGCTAGTGCACACATGAGAGCATCCACAGCAAGGAATCCCATGCATGCACATGCCAGGAGTGCTGTGCACACATCGGCGGCGCTGAGCTGTGAGGGTTGTGCATCGCTGGGCGCCAGGAGGTGTGAAAGCAGCAGGCATGCACAGAGCCAGGGTGTGAGCGGGCCGGGGGCTGCACACTGCTTTGATGCCCAGTGCTGCTGACAGCTGGGCCGGGGAGGCTGGGCCAGGAGCGGGGGGCTCTGCTCGGCAGAACCATTAATGCCAAGTCCCATCACAATAATCATAAAAGCCACGTCTCAGAGCTCATCGCGTTGGCCACTAAAGCGATGCCTCTGGCAGCCCCCCCGTCTATCAGCAATACCTGGGGGGCCAATCGAAAAGTCTCTGCTTATTCCAGCTGATGGCCAATCTCTCTCTATTTAAGCCTCTCAGACAGCTAATCTAATCAATATTGCAAGGAGGGCTGCATTAGCAGCGAGCGCAGAGCGGCTGTCTGAGCCACGCTGATGGAGCGGGGAGGGGGCGCGGGGCCGGGCCCACCTGAGGAAGCGGTTGAGGTCTCCGTGCTTCATGTACTCGAAGACCATGATGAGGGGCTCACCCTCGGTGCACACACCGTAGAACTTGACGATGTGCTCGTGCTGCAGCACCGTCAGCAGCTCCGCTTCCCGCTGGAAGTCCAGCCGCGCGCTCTCCGTCACCTCCTTCAGTGCCTGCAAACACATGGTGTTAACCTGGCACCGACCGGCCCGGGACCCCCATCCCCAACCCCTCACCTTCACAGCCACCAACGTCTTCTCCTGCTCCGGGAGGAGGTGGGAACATTCGGCCAGGAAGACTTTCCCAAAAGCGCCCTCACCCAGCTCCCACTTGAGCACGATGTCACGGCGCTGCACGTGGTGCACACCTGGGGGACCCGCACCCGTCAGCCCCGAGCCTCTGCCCCAGGAAGACACTGGGGAGCAGTGGGGGATGCTGGAGCCCCCCAGCCTTACAGGCGTTGCAGAAATACTGTGGGTTTTCAATGAAGTTGCTCTTCAGCCCATCCAGCTTGCTCTCTGTGGAGGACATGGGGCTGCTGCCCAGGTTCATGAAGTGCAACGACATGGCCAGGTCATCCTCTTGGGCCAGCACAGCTGAGCCTAAAGGGACAGGGGCACATGAACAGGGCCATCAACAGAGGGGTGAGGGGTGCTTTGTGCAGCAGTGCCAGGTGCTGCCGAGCATCCCCCCCCAGCCCCGGGGGAAGCCAGTGCGATCAAACCCATTTGCAGGCTGAATCCATTCCAGGAGTGAATTAGCAGCTGCTGCCCGCCCTGCCTGGCCCCGGCGGGGCCCCACCGCCACCCAGTGCCCCAGGGGGTGCCAGGCAATGGGGACCCGTGGGGACCATTGCCCCATGGCTGTGCCCCCACCCGGTGCAGGAAGAGGGGACTCACGGTTAATGCCGAACTTGGAGCGGTGCCCGCACTTGTTGAGCACGATGAGCATGACGGAGAGGAAGAGGGAGGCGAAGACAGCCAAAGCCACGGCCACAGAGACCTGGGGATAGAAGGAATGGTGAGGATGGGGCCAGGGTCCTGCTGCAAAGCCAAGGGCAGCACCCTTCTCCCAGCTCCGGCAGCAGAGGTGGTTGCAAATCTACTGGGGAAACTGAGGCACAAGGGAGGGCAGGCAGCTGCCTTCATCCTATCCCACCCCACCTCTCCTTGCCTCTGGTTTGCCTTCACTTTAAGGACTGCTTTGCTTTCCCACAGGTGCCTCCTGCCCCAAATCACAGAGCACCCCATTCCAGCCGAGCCCTCACCCCAAACGTGTGCTCATCTGCTGTCTCCACGGGGCCCTCCAGAGAGCTGTTCCTGGTGCCTGTGTGGGGAGAGGGCACGGGGTGAGTGTGGGGAGGGGGCACATCCTCACTCCTGCACAATCACTGGCATCCTCATCAGGGGGCTAGCTCCAGTCACCATAACTAGGGGGGTTGGAGCAGGGGAAGCAGCACTCTCCAGCACTCACCCAGCGGAGATATGGAGACTGTGCAGCATGGAAAAAGGAAAGAGCACACATTAACCATCTCCACCCCCATGAGAGAGTCCCATTTCCTTCCCACTCCTTGGGGAAACCGAGGCACGCAGGGGCACAGAACCCCTGGGCAGGGTGGGAACAGAGGGATTTGGTGCCCCAGTGTCAGGACTGGGGCAGCACATCTCCTTCAGCCCCACTGCGACGCACCGGGGATGGGATCCTCGGGGCTGAAGCTGAAGGGGTTGTCCATGAAGCGGCCCTGGATGCTGCGGGTGGCGCTGCCCAGGGGGTTCTGCACCACGAGGGTGTAGTTGCCGTTGTTGACATGCGTGGGGCGATTGAGCTGGAGGCAGCCGTGCAGTATGGTGGAGTTGGGCTCATACTCCACAATGCGCGTGTGGATGTAGGGCCCTTCAGGCAGCGCCGAGCCGTTGAAGAACCAAAGGATGCTGGGCGCTGGGTTGCTGTCCACTGAGAAGGGGATGCACCAGAAGTGCTGCGAAATGGCTTCATGCAGGAGCAGGATCACCGGCGGGACTGTGGGGACAGAGCTGCCTGTGTACCCAAACGTGCATCCCCAAACACACGACCCCAAAGCCGCCCTTCACCCCACCTCCCCACCACCGTCACACGTCCCCTGGGTAGCTTACAGGTGACATTCAACATCACGCTGTCCTCCGCCAGCCCCGCCTCATTCTCTGCCCGGCATGTGAGGTCCTTGTGGTTGAGGCTGGAGGAGATGTTGTTGATCTCCAGGACAAGCTCCCACTCCGAGAGCTGCAGGGAGCACCGGGATGGGGTGAGCACATCCTGCACGGAGGGGATGCTGCAGGGGGATGGTGTGGCTGGAAGGTCCCCGCCGTGCCCCAAGCCTTGCCTTGGTGACAGATGGTTCTGATCCCATGTCAGGGAGCACCCACTCCCCGGTGGCTGGTGGCTCGCCCCAGATGTGGCAGGTGAGGTTGACGCTGTCCCCTTGGCGCAGCACCACATCGGGGTGCTCAATGCGGGCGGTGGGGGGCTCTGCCGAGGAGAGATGAGCTGTCCCCATGCTGTCCTCACCCACAATGGGCTCAAGGTTGGGTTTGGATCCCCCTGTACCACCTACCACAGCCGTACAGGAGGTGGCTGCCCAGGGCCACGAGTGCGCTGCCCTCCCAGCAGACCAGTGACTGGTTGCCCAGCTCAGAACGGCTCCCGTTCTGCCACAGCTGCAGCCAGCGGATCCCACAGGAGCAATTGAAGGGGTTTCCCTCCAGGATGCTGAGACGGGGAGAGGATACGAGCTGCATGCAGTGCATCCCCAGCTGCATCAAGCCCGGGGTGCGCAGGATGGATGGTTGCACCCAGAGCGGTTTGCTGCGCAATGCTGAGCTGTCTGTGCTGTGCTGTCCCCATCCCTGTCCCTGTTCCCATCTCTGCCGCACACACCTGGGGCTGTTGGAGCTGCATATCTGCAGCTGGGTCTGTACCAGTGCTGCCACAGCCACGGGTGCATCCCCAGCCCTGTCCCTGCTCCCACATCCTCCCCCAGAGCTATATCCCCAGCCATACCCCATGCCCTGCCCCTCGCCACGGCACTCACAGCTCCTGCAGGGGCAGATGCTGGAAGGTTTTCCAGGAGAGGCTGGTCAACGCATTGAAGGAGAGATTCCTGCAAGCACAGACCCCATCAGCCTCTCTTCCCCAACTCCCCTCATCCTGCATCACCCTCACACACAGCGATCTCTCATATGCTGGGAACAGAGCTGTCACACCATGACCAAGCAGAAGCACATGCACCAGGCTGGCTGCCAGCCCAGCCTTTGGGTGCCCCTTCCAGGGATCTCCATCATCTCTGGGGTAAGTTTCTTCTCCCTCCCCCCTCTCTCCAGCATCCCCTCCTGCACGGGGCTGCACTGCACAGAGTTCCCGGGGGGCTCCAGCCCCGATCAATGGTTTCACATTCAGCAGCACAATCCCACACAGTCCCTCTGGATTGAGTTTTGCTTCTAGGCAGTGGGACAGCATCGATCCTCCCAGAGTGCAGGGACAAAGCCACCCTGCGTGGGGATGAGTGCCCTGAGGGGGTTGACATGCATGGGGATGGGGATCCGAGCCCTAGAAGGGGGGGTACTCACACATGGCTCAGCCTGTGGGTGTCCTGGAAAGCATCGTCAGATATGTGCTGCAGCCCCGAGTTGGAGATGGTGCTGGGGGAGGCAAGGGCTAAGCATGTGCAGTGGGAACCCTGTCCCCATCCTCCCCACCCCACCCCAGGGGGCTCACAGGTGCCTGAGGTCCCACAGCATTCTGGTGTCTTTCTGGGTCAGAGATGTCAGCAGTGGTTGGTTCTCGATGATGCTGGAAGGCAACAGGGCAGCAGGTGGGGATCGGGCCCCCATTCTGGGATCACCACTGCCAGAGCAGGGGGAGCAGCCCTAGGATGGGGATAGGGACAGAGCCAAGCTGCTCCTCTGGGCCTCAGCTTCCCCTGGGCTGAGCTGGCACACTGGGGCCAGAGCTGAATTCCCACTCAGAACCCACAGTCCCACCCAGAGGGCGAGTTGGCCCGGCCTCAGCCCCCCTCCCCCAAAGCTCCTCTATGTGTCCCCTCACTTCTCCCTGTACCTACGGTGCCCTGTAGTGTGACGGTGGCACCGAGAAGCAGGCTGCTTCCCCACTCCTTCTCTTCCCAAGGAAAGCCCCTATGGGAGCCAGCGTGGGGCTTTCCAACCACCTCCACCCCCCAGGCCACGATGGGGATGAGGGAGACACAACAGAGGAATGGCAGGTGATCTCTTGGGGGATCACCATCCACCCCACCCTGTCAGGCAGTGAACAAAGAGCTGGCAGCGCCCGCAGCTCAGCGTTTCCCAGCACATGGAGAAACTGAGGCAGGGAGGTGTGCGGCAGCCGCTCCAGCAATGCAGCAGAGCAGCAGGGTGAGGACCCAGGAGCCCAAACACCCTGGTGGCACCCAAATTGTCACTACAAACCCCTGCTCCCTCCTCATCCCAGCACACAGCAGAGGGGGAATGGAAGAGACATGCCCCAACCCAGGCAGTGTGGGTGCCCAAACCCCTCCTGCACCTCAGCTGAGTACCAGCACGATTGTGCTCTCCCCACGCTGGAGAATCATCCCTCTCAGATCCAGGGGGATGGGGGCTCAATTCCCCCTCAGCTTCCTAACCCACAAGTCTCAGGTTAGATGAACAGCATCATCATGGTGGGGACAAAGGGTCCGGTCTCCTCCCGCTCCCCATCACTGCCCACTGCAGCATGGGCGCTCCCTGTCTGTGGACCCTGCTGCACCCCAGCCCTACTGGGACTTCATGGGAGGGGGCAGAGAATTGTCCTGAGTCTCTCCCTCACTCCCTGTGAGTCCACAGCAGGGATTCTTCCCACCTTTACACCCCAATAACCCCCCTCCAGGCAGCCCTGGTCCCATCAGTGCCCCAGCATTATCCCAGTGCCACCACCATGTACGTCCTCCAGCCCCACCACTGTGTCCTGGTCCAAATGCCCTGACCCCACTGCCATCCGCTTCCTCATCTCCATCCTCATCAGCCCGTCCTGGCCTCACTACTCTGTCCCATCCTTATCCTCTTCCTCATCCTCATCGCCAGATCCCATCTCCATCACTAGTTCCCTTCCTCATTTCCATCCCCGCTCCCTCTCCTCATCGTACGACCCCATCCCCAAATCCCCATCTCATCGCTGTCCCTCTGCCCTTCCCCACTCACACGTCGGTGAGGCGGCGGGTGCCCAGCAGCAGGGCGCTGAGGCTGCTCACGGTTCGGGGCTCCCGGCAGCGCAGGATGTGGGGCTCGGGGCAGCGGCATTGCGCGGGGCAGGCGGGAGGAGCGGCGGCTCCCGGGGGCAGCAGCAGCGCAGCCAGGCACAGCCGGAGCCAGGCGGGCAGCATCGCGACCCGAGGCCGCTCCGGGACCGCCGCCCTCGCACTTCGTCGCCGCACCGGAGCCCACGAAAGTGGCACCGTGAGGGACCGGCGGGTTAAAAGCGGCGCCCGGTCCGGCCTCTTGGGGAGGGGCCAGCGGCTCCCCCGCCCCGACCCTGCCCGCAGCCCCGCACCGCGCGGCGGCACCGGGAGGGTGCGGGATGGGAGCTCGGAGCGCAGGTGGGGTGGGAGAAGTGGGACCCTGCCCGCTCTCTGCCCGCGCCCTGCATGCGATGCTCGCACTCTGCACCGTGCCCACACGCTGCTCGCGCTGTGCCCGCAATGCCCGCACCATCCCCGCACCGCCCGCGCCCTGCTCCAGCAGCTCCGGTGCCCCCATTTGCAAGGGGCGGAGGACACCTCCCACTGCCGCCCTCCCGCACTCAGGACCATCAGGAGCATCCCCTTCCCCAGCTCTCCCATCGCTCTCCCAAAATGTCACAGCGCTGAGCTTCCCTCGAGTCCCCCGTTACATCGGGGTGCAGAATTGGGAACATTGCTGGCACAGTGGCCCCGTCTCACCTGCTTGGGACCCTCTTGTGAGGAGAGATCAGAGCATGGCTGGTGGATCCCCATCTGCCCCCTTTTGTCCCCATCCCACTCCCTGCGTCATGGCACTAGAGCTCATGTGTGCGATGAGTTTGGCACATTCTCAGTCTGAATTCCTCCCCCAGGGCTCAGCCCTGCGCACCAAGAGACTGGGATGGGGAGAAAAGAGATATGCGAGACCCCCCTCGACAGACATCCCGGTCCGAGTCGCCCGTCAGACCGCCACCGCCTCGCAAATTCCTCTGCTTTGACGTTTTTTTCCCCAGAAACGCCTCCGGCTCAGGCACCGCAGGGCAAAGCCGCAACGAGATGTGCAGGAAGCAGATGGGACCGGCGGACGGCAGTGGAAAGCCCCGAGCATCGCTCCCCCCCCACCTCCACCCCAACCCCCCGTGCCCCCACAGATCAAGCACCGCTCGGCCGAGCTCCGTCCTGCTTTATTCTCCCTGCACCCCCTGGGCAGACAGAGGAGTCGGCGCGGCCCCCGACGCGGTGCCCCGCAGTCAGGATTGTGGGGAGTCTGCAGGGCAGAGCGTGCCTCAGTTTCCCCACCCGCAAAACGGAGCGCCCCACGGGGCAGCCTCCCCTCTCCCGTGCCCCCCCCCCCCCCCCCTGTTTGCTACCTTCTCCCCAACGCAGGGGTTGGCAGTGCAGTGGCTGCCCCAGAGCGCACCCCCTTCCCTTAAAAGCAATAAATAACGCGAAAGGCCCCGCGATGGGGCAGGGGGATGAGTCCGCAGCGGGCGGCAGCCCCCGCTCACAGGCAGCCCGTCCCGTTGGGGAGCCGACCTCGGCTCTTGCGGGTGGGCAGAGGGGGTGCGGGCGGCTCGTCCTCCTCGGGGGGCGGCTCCGTTTCGGCGTCCGAAGGCTCGCTGGAGTCGCGCCGCCGGTTCTCCGGGCTGTAGAAGAAGGAGAGGGTGCGGAAAGCGGGAGCCATGTGCTCCTTGATGCTCTCCAGGAGCTGAATGAAGGATGGGCGCTGGCGAGGGTTCTGCTGCCAGCACAGACACATCAGTTCATGGCTGCGGAACAAAGAATGCACAGTGGGTACGGGGGTCCCCGGTCACCCCCGGCCACCTCAAGGGCAGCCGGCTCACGGGGGCTCCGTGCAGACCAGTGGCACTTATTGCCCACCCCGAGCAGGTCTGGTAAGAGATCCCCCCACTCACAGTTGATCGGGGCAGTTCTCCGGCCGCTCCAGGACGCCATTGTCCATGACGTAGTGCAGGACCTGTTCGTTGGACATCCCCTGGTAGGGCTGCTCAGCCAGCGTGGTGATCTCCCACAGCACCACCCCGAAAGACCTGCAGCACCCAGAGGTCAGCCCGGGGTGGGTGGGGGCTCACCCACTTGGCTCTCCCCAGCCTCGTCACCCACCAGACATCAGACTGCGTGTTGAAGATGCCATCCTTGAGGGCCTCGGGGGACATCCAGCGGACGGGGAGCAGCCCCTTGCCCCCTTTGCGGTAATAATCTGTCTCGTAGATGTCCCGCGTCATGCCGAAATCTGGTGGAGGAGGAAGAAGACGAGGAAAAAGGAGAAAGAGGTGGAAAAAGAATAAGAGAATGAAGAGGAGAAAGACGAGGAAGAGGAGGAAGATACCATGAGCACCAGGACGAGGGGACCCATCCCAAGCCCACCCACCTCTGGCTGCCCACCTCCAATCTTGACGGTGAAGTCCTCAGACACCATGCAGTTGCGCGCGGCGAGGTCACGGTGCACGAACTTCTTGGCGTTGAGGTAGGCCATGCCGTCGGCGATCTCACCCGCCATCTGGATCATGTCCTTGAGCGAGGGTGGCGGCAGCCCGGGGTTGTTCTGCACCACGCACAGAGAGAGGAGGCTTTGGGGGGACGTCCTTGGGGACGGGGTCTGTGCCCCCTCCTTTGTAGGGCACCACGGCGCCTGGGCAGCCCCTCACCTCGGCGTCAGGTCTGAGAGAACGCAGGTAGCTCTTCAGGTCCCCACGTGTCATCAGCTCCATGATGACCAAGGCTGGCTGGCCCTGGGACACGACGCCAAGCAGACGGACCTGGGGAGCGAATGGAAACAGCACGTGGGCAGCCACAAACCCAAGTTCCCTGGGATGTCCCCCCTGCTGCCACCTACCACATGGTGGCACTTGAAGGCCTTCATGACGGAGGCTTCCTTGAGGAACTCAATGCGCTCCCGCATGGTGGCCAGCTCGTTGACCGTCTTCAAGGCCACCTTGGTCTCCTCACCCTCAGCCACCAGCCCCAGTGCCAGCCCCTCGTACACCATCCCAAAGGAGCCCTGCCCCAGCTCCCGGATCACCGTGATCTTCTCCCGTGATACTTCCCATTCATCAGGGATGTACACTGCAGGGAGGGGGGTCACCATCACCATCATCGATATCACCACCACCTCCATCCCCATCCCCAAGCAGGGGAATGGGGCAGCAGACCCCAAGGGGGACCCCTGCCCATCCCCACATACTGTCCGAGGCACTGAAGTACTCGGGATTGACAGAGGCGTACAGCGTCCCACTGGGGTAGCCATCATTGCTCCTGGGAGGATGGAGAGGTGGGCATGGCACAGAGGACAGGGGGACAAAGAAGGGGGACAAAGGGCGGGGGGACAAGAGGCAGGGATGCAGTGCCACCTCCCCAGCCCCAGCTCAGCTGAGTGCAGCCCTAGGGTTCGGAGGGGTCACTACCTTTTCTTATTGTAGAAGAAGACAAAGACGGCGAGGCAAGAGATGAGCACCATGAGGATCACAGGCGTAACAGTGAGCAGGATGTAGAAGCTGCCGGACTCCTCCTCGGCTGCCGGGAGTGTGTCCGTGGGGCAGGGTGTTGTGGGACCATTTGTAGCAGCACTCCGTGCCCTATGCTGCTCCCACCCCAGAGCATCCCCAAATCTCCCAAATTCCTGATTTAGCAGCATTCTTTCATCTTCTGATGTCCAGATCCAGGAGCACTCCCTGATCCCCAATCCCACCATTCCTCCCCAATTTCCTGGTGCCCCATCTAGCAGTCTCCCAGCTCCCAGCCCAGCAGCCCCTCAACCCCACTGGCATCCTCCTTGTCCCCATCAGGTACCTGGCCCCAGGATGTAGAACTTGACAAGTCCCGTCCAGGAGCCGTTGCCAGCCAGAGATGTGGCACGGACCTTGGCTGAGTAATTCCCTGGCTGCAGCAGGGCCAGGTGCACGCCTCCATATTTAGCATAGCGGTGTCGGGAGACGCAGACAACAGTGGTGACCTCCTGGGGATGAAGGGGTAGTGGCAATGGGGACATCCCAGTCTCGGGGAGGGGGATGCCGAGTCGGATCCTCACCTCGCTCTCACGGCTGTACTTGATCTCGTACTTGAGGATGAGCCCATTGGGGTTACGGGGCTCCTGCCAGCGCAGCAGCACGCTGTTCTTGCTGGCTGGCTCCCAGGTCACATTGCCGGGAATGTTGTCAGCTTGCACTGGACGGGACATAAATGGGCTCAGGATGAGAGGTGATGGCCTCACGTCACATCGGGGAAGGTTCAGATCGGATATTAGGATAAAGTTGTTCTCAGAAAGAGTGATAAGGCATTGGAATAGGCTGCCCAGGGTGGGGGCGGAGAAAGGTGTAGCTGTGGCACTAAAGGATGTGATTAATGGGCACGGTGGTGAAATCTTGATGGTCGGAATTGATCTCAGCGCAGTTTTCCAACCTTAGCGATTTTGCAATTCTACCAACCCAGTGCTGATCCCCTCCCAAAATCACCCAGCATCCTCCCCTCTGCCCTTGGACGTACACTCAGGCATGGTCCTGGCGAAGACAAAAGTGGCCGCGCTGCAGCCCACGGTGTGCGCAGCGTGGTTGCAGGCATGGATGTCGATGCGGTACTCTGTGAAGTGCCTCAGCCGCGACAGCACCGCGCGGTCCCGCACCACTTTGTCCTCAAAGATCTGGAAGTCGCGTTTGGGTTCGGCTCTGGTGTGGCTTGGAGGTGGTGGCTCCACTGAGGAGGCGTTGGTGGGGGATGTGACGGCCATCAGGTCCCTGCGGCGCTTTGGGGTCCTGCAGGGATGGGAGGAGGTTTAGGGTCAGGGCGCAGGGGGGGCCTCACATGCAAATGGGCAGGGAGAGCCTCAGAGTTTTGGGGTTCTTCCCAGCTCACCGCTGTGGGTACTTGTTGATGGATGTCACCTTCCAAGGTGGCCTGAGACAGTAGGAAATGGTTAAAGAAGCCGAGGAACACCCTCCCTGTAACAGAGCAATGCTCGGAGACCCCCTGACCCTGGTACCCCTAAAGTGCTGGCACCTGGGGATGATGATGGAGTTATGGAGGAAGTTCTCGAACTTCTTCTGGAAGGACTCAGCTTCGCCCTCCATGCGGAGCTGCCCGTCAGCAGGGCGGCAGGGGCAGCAGCGCTCCTCTGCATCCTGCTCCACTTCAGGGCCGTCCCCGTCACTGAAGCGCGTGTCTGCACTGCTGGTGGGCAGCTTCAGGCCTGGAGGTGGGGGTGGGCAGTGCTGCATTTCCATCTCCACCCCCCATCCCAGCTCCACAGGGACCCGGGGATTGTCCCCATCCCTGCATCATCCCTGGTAACCCTTCCACACCTTTGTGGCAGTAGTCATTGATGTAGAGCTCCATGTCCTCAGCCAGCTGCTGCCACAGCACCAGGTAGTAGGTGATGTTGCCGTTGCGCTGTGTAGGTGGCTTCCAGCGCACCACGATGTGGGATGAGGAGTTGGACATGGAGATGACATCCCGTGGCACTGTCGGGGCTGGGAGGGCATGGGGACATCAGCCCCAGCCTGAGGTCACCGTGGGCACCCCAAACCCCCCAGCAACCCCATACCTGCTGGCATGGTGCGGATGTAGACCACCTCGCTCTGCGCCCCATAATTGCGCCCTTCCTCGGCGGTGGTGAGGGTGATGGCACGGACAAAGATGGCATATTGTGTCCACGGCCGCAGGTTGAGCAGGGCCACCCCTGGCTCCTGCTCACTGCTGAGTGGCAGCTCCACGTCCAGCACATTCCAGCTCTGTGCCCCGCAAGCATCCTGCCCCACGTACTCTGACACGTTCTGGAAAGGTCTGGCAACCACCCGGCCCCCAGGCATCAGCTGGGGGTCCCAGCCAACCCCAAGTCTCTCCATCTTCTGGGGCCCAGCAGCCCCAGATGTGCCATAAGGATGCTGCAGGCTGGGGGACACGAGGATCACTTACGACTCCTTGTAGTAGACAATGAAGCTGAGGAGGTCTCGGTACTCAGGCGGCCGGTACCGCTCCCACTTGAGGAAGATGCGGTCAGACTCAGTGATGTTGGAGATGAAACGCAAGGTTTGGGTTTTGCCTGTGGGAGGGGTGCAAGGGATCAGAATCATGGTGCCACTGGGTCCCCCCCATGCCCATCCCCACACTCACAGGACGCCCGGTCCCCGTTGGTACGCGGGTTGATCTCTGCCTTGTTCTGCCGCCCCTTGGTGCCTGTCACCTCCTCCATGTGGTAGATCTCAGCCAAGCAAAGCTTGGGGTTGAAGGCAAAATACATCTTGCCCACAGGGATAGAGAGGACGTGGTGGCTCCAGTCCCACAACTGCTGCAGATTCTGATTGTCCAGGACGTATAGGGTGTAATTCCTGTGGAAGAGGCAGATGGTGGTGATGGGCACAGGCACCCCACTCCCAGGTGTCTTCAGCACGTCCTGTCCTCACCCATCCACCATGGAGTCTCCGCGGATCAGCTTGAGGTTCTTGAAGAAGGACAAGGAGACCAGGGCGAAGGAGTGCTTGATCTTCAGGAAGCCCGTGATGGTCTCGATGAGGCCCAGGCTGCTCTGCAGCTCCGAGGCCAGATTATCTGGGGACATCCCATGGGCATGAGCGTGGTGTGGTGATGGAGCTGGCACTTGGGACCCTCACTCCTCAATGACCCCCACCCATTAATTCTTCCTCCAAGGGAAATTCCCACCCCCCCCTCTACCCATGTCACCCTCCCAGCACTCACAGCCTCGGCGGATGTTGAGGATGAGGTTGCCCTCCACCAGAGTGCAGCCTGCCAGCTCCTGCGCTGCCCGTGTCGAGTCCACCGTCTTGGTGCCAACCTTGCATGCTTTGGGGCACAACCCCTCACACTTGTGGCAGAAGATGCTGCAGGGACAGGGAGTGGGACATAAGCCGGGCACGGAGCCCCCTCCCTCCACTGCCGCCCCCCAAGGGCAGGGGTCCCCACCTGCTTTCATTCCTGGTGTAGCCGGGGGGGCACTCAGAGAGGCACTGCTGCTGGTGGATGACAAACTTGGAGGCATCGCGTGGGTTGTCGGAGACCTTGCGCAGGCTGGCACAGTACTCAGCTGTGACGCAGCGCCAGCCCTCGTACTCATAGGTGCGGGGTGGGCAAGAGGGCAGGCAGTGCCCATTGAAGTGGAAGTGACGGCAGGCCACGCAGGAGCGGCTGTCACGGGGCCGCCCGCAGCCCCCCAGGCACTCAGCATGGCAGCACTCACCCGACGCCGTGCACGCCGAGCCCGCACCGCACGGACACACTGCAGGGAGGTGATGTTGGCAGTGGGAAAAGGGGATTGTGCAGGGTTTGGGTGGGTAGGGGGCTGGTGGCAGACTGCTGGTGTGGGGAGCAAGGAGAGAGGGTGAGGAGGGGTGGAGGGGTGAATGGATGAAGAAATGGATGCAGGGATGGATGGACGGAGGGATGGGTAGGTGGAAGGGTGGATGGAGGGAGGGTTGGTTGGATGGGTGTACGGACAGAGCGATGGATGGAGGGATGGACAGACACGTGGGTGGATGGACAGGTGGTGGATGGACGGGTGGATGCACAGACAGCTGGACAGACAGATGACGGCCTGCGTGGACAGTCAGGACAGACGGGCAAATGGACAAATGGACAGGTGAGGCTCACCGCATGCCAAGCCCCAGCCACCCAGCGGTGCCACGTGGTGCGGCCAGTGCTGGGGCAGTGGCCGAGGTTACAGCCCAGATAAGGATCTGTGTTTATAGTATATATTTCATTACCAGGCCTCCTGTTTACTGCAAACGAGCCCGGGAGGGGCGTGTATTTACCTCACCGCTGGGAAAACATGGCAGCTGGGAGCTGGCCTCTCCTCCCGAGAATGATACAGCGCGGATCCAATTACTCCACTGCAGCTCGCTCCCACGCAGAGACAGATGTATGCCCAGCTCTGCCCTCCCAGTGCCTCCCAGTGCCTCCCAGTGCTCCCCATCGGCTCCCAGCACTGGGATGAGCAGCCCCGCAGCACCTCACCCACCTTTCTGGCAGTAGCTGGAGGTCCAGCAGCGGTAATCCAACTGCCCATTGACAACGGTCTGCGCACACGGCTTCTCCACGTCCAGGATACCTGGGCAGACGTCGGCGCACTCCTCGGCCAGCTTGTTGCCCACAATGTAGCTGTTGTCCACGGCGTCGGGCAGCAGCAGCCCCCAGTCGATGGTGGAGAGGTGGCAGAGCTCCTGGTTGCGCTCGATGCGCACCGAGCCGCGCAGCACATGGCTCAGGCTGTGCAGCCCGATCTCCCGCAGGTGCGGCATCTCGAAGATGACCAACGCGTAGTTGAAGAAGAGGTTGGTGCCACGGATGACCGAGAGGTTGGGGAAGAGATCCCGCAGGCTCTCCAACCCGTAGACACGGAAGAGCAGCAGGTACTCGGTGATCATCAGCAGGCGGGGGAAGCTGAGCCCGCGGAAGTCCTCGGCGCCCGTGGTGAACATCAGCAGGATCTGCAGGTTGCCTTCGATGATGGAGCAGTTCTCCAGCTTCTGCAGCTGCGACACGTCGTTGCGGATGTCCATGCTGCCGCAGACTGGGGTGGCAAAAAGGGGCCCAGGGGCAATGGGGTGCCCCAAGAGCATCCAGCCACCACACAGGTGTCATCCCCCCTCCCCCAGATAGGGCCGCAGCGATGCGTGGCAGGGGTTAATGTCCTGCTCTGGCTGTCAGCTGCCTGCGGTCGCTGTGGGCAGCTGGGGCAGATGAGAGCAGCAGTGACAGGCAGCCGGCGCACCACAGCTCCTAGGGGGACAGCATGGCTGCTGTGATGCTAACGAGGTCTGGCTCTGCGGGAGCTTCCCAGGATCATTTCATAGCCCTCTTCCAACCCCATGGAGGCTGCAGCCCCTGGGGTAGCAGCAGTGAGCACGCAGCATCCTCCCACCGAATCGCTCCCATTGACACTTTGCAGAGAAGGGGCTATGGGGTCACCATCCCAGGGGCTTTCCACCCCATTGCAGGTGGGCACCATGGGGCTGAGCATCTCCTGCTGTCTCTGCCCCCCTCCAGCAGTATCCCCAGCCTGAAACCTGACTCCAAGTTATTACGGAGAGAAACTCACTGTTACTCAGAGAGGGATTTACTGTAAACACAGATAGCAAAGATGACCAGCTCAGCGTGTACCCCGAACACCCAAGCAGTGCTGGCAACATGGAATGGAGCTGGAGCACCCAGAAGTGTGTGTCAAGGCAGCAATACACAGAGCCCCCCCCAGCACTATGGGGTACCCTCGGGACATGGGAGTCTCCATCCTGCTGTGGGGCTGAGGATGCAGTATCAGCTCTGAGAGTGCAACACTCTGCTGCCACAGCTGTGACCTTGGCAAAGTCACAGCAGTCCCTGTGCTGAGTGGGGGAACAGAAGAAGAGAGGGGACCAGGAACAACTTGGTCCCTATTGTGGGTAGAGAGAATTCTAGGGTCCCCAGTGCCCTCACTGGGGCAGAGACAGAGCAAGAAGCATTCCCAGAGCAACTCTCAGCATGAGTTCAGCTGCTCTGTCCTCATTCCCCCTCCACTTCTCTCTAGCTCCCAATGGGGAAACTGAGGCAGCACGCAGAGAAAGGACAGACACACAGTGACAAACCCAGGCATGTGGGTCCCTCTGTCCCCACCCTGCTGGGAGTGCAGGGACCCCACCAGGGGACATCCCCACATAAGCCCCTGGGGATTTTCCTGATCCAGGATCATCAGAACCCCATGCCTGTCCCCCAGGTTGCATCCCCAGACTAAAAGGTTTAAGCATCATTTTCCATCACTGCTGAGTGCAGTGGCTTCATGGAATCATCTCCCACAAAAGCAAGCGATGCCCTGACCCCACCACAGGGCCCCCACCCCATTTCCTCCCCAACTCCAGACCCCAAAGGTCACAGACGTGAGGATTGTGGCAGCGCGGTCATCGCGTCAGAGGGGAAACTGAGGCAGCAAGCACAAAGCTTCACCTGGAGGCTCAGCCCAACAACTCCAAAACCCCAAAACCCATCCCCCTCACCCCTCTTTCCACCACTTACTTTCAGAGGGGGCCTGCACCGGGGGCAACAGGAGGGGGCTGAGGAGCAGCAGGGCAAGCAGCAGCCGTAGGACCCCCGATGCCCCCATCCCGTGGGGCCACGTCTCACTCCTGCCCGGTGCTGCTGCAGGCGGGCACACGTCCGGCCCCGCACGCCGGGCACTCCTTGCCAGCACCGAGGCACGCCGGGAGAAGGGTGGCCCCGTGGCCCCTTCACTTTTGTTTTCGGCTGCCACACACAAAATATTTAGCCTGACAACTGTGCGGGGCCGGGCCAGGGCCAGGGCCGGGGCTTGTTTGGGAAATAGAGAGGGGAGAAAACAGGGCGGCCCTGAGAGCAGTGGGGCTGGAAGGGGTCAGGGAGTGTGAGATGCCCCCAGACCTTGTGTTCTTCAGGATGACGCTCCGTGCTTCGCTTTCTGCAGGTGTGGGGATTGTGGGGAGGATTTGAGGGCATGGGTACATCCAGGGTGATCCTGAGAGGGGTCAGTCCCAGGGAACAAAGGAGCAAAGAGGAGGAAGAGGAGGAGGAAGAGGATGAGGAGGGGGAGGAAGCTGCTCCGCTCAGCACCCAAGATAAGAGGATTGGGGCACATTTATTTCTCGAATTAGAGCCAAGGGAAGGGCAGAGCCCTCAGGTGAGGGTGTACCTGGGGAGCACAGCAGTGCCCCTGGCTCTGCCCCAGTGGCCCTCAGCACAGCAGCACTGGGAGCAGCAGCTCCAGCACTCAGGTGCTCACATCTGCTGGGGGTGAAGGGGGGTCTGGAGGTCCTTCTCGTGGGACTGCCCCATTCTTCTGTCCCCACCTTTGGGGGGAGCTCAGGAGCAGCTGCTCCTACGCCGACGGAGCAGAGTCACGGGGCGGCTGCCTTCCTCCTCCTGGTCGCTCTCACAGCAGCGCTGGGGGCACAGAAGGGCACAGAGGGGCTGAAGGGCAAGGACAAGACCATGGGCCCCCCCAGGGAGGGGCATCCCATGGCACAGCCCCTCATTATCCATTATGCACCCCCAGCATCTCACCAGCTCTTCGCCCTCCGTCCCGGGGCTGCAAAGCAGCTGCATGCGGCACAGCCGGTTGCAGGCAGACACCATGTTGTAAGAGAGCTGGGGGAGCAGCAAGGCAGGGGTCTGTGCAGGGAGCTCTCCCCTCCACTCCCACCACTCCTATACTGGAGCACAGACCCCACTATGGCCCCCTATCCAAATGCACCCAGCCCTGGGGTGGAGCACGATGGCTTCACACAAGTACCCAAAGGTGATGGGACCCCGCATCCTGCCGTCCCCATCCCTCACCCCCTTATCCCTCCCTTTCACCTTCCACTTCCTCCGGGCGTTGAACTTGCGGAAGTTTTTCATGTTGATGGAGGAACGGCACCGTTTTGCTGCTTGTTTCCTGTTCAGGGGCTGGAGGGACGAAGCTGTGGCATCATCACTGCACCCCCTCCCCACATCCTCAGCACACGGCAGCCAGTGAAGCCCAGCTATGTTCCCCCTTTCTATCTCACCTTAATCCAAGGGTGCACAAGGCACTCAGATGCAGTCATTCGCTCCCTGCAACAGAGAGGGCTGTGATGGCAGGGATCCGGGGATCCCTAGGGTTGGGGACAGAGACCCCCAGGGACTGGGACACAGACAGGCATGGCACTCACTGAGGCTCCTTCACCAGCAGCTGCCGGATGAAGTCCTTGGCCATCTCAGAGGTGTCACTGAAGTAGCGCTCCTCGAACTCATAGGCGCCCTCCAGGATGTTGGAGAGGGTCTCAGCATCTGTCTCACCCTGGAAGGGGGAGAAGCCGCTGAGCCTGCAGGGACATGAGGGAGCGTGAGCACCGGAGATGGACCTGCCACGCTGCCCCCAGTGCCTCAGTTTCCCCCGGCTGCATTTTCCCCTCGCCACTACTCACAGGATGTAGGTGATAACCCCGATGCTCCTGAAAGACAGAGGGTGGGGGTCAGGACTGTCCTGTGGGGCTCCCTACAGTGGCACTGTGGGTCCCCCCCCGTCCCTCTCCTCACCACATGTCGGTGGCGGAGCTCAGCGGTTCGTAGTTGATCACTTCGGGAGCTAAGGGTGAAGGAAAAGCAGAGGGGGGCATGTCAAATGGGAGCACCACACGGGCACCCTGATATGTCCCCAATCATGCAGGTCCCCCTCCCAGTGAAGCTGTCCCAGCTCTTGTCTGCCCCTTAGAGCTGGGGCTCCAGGGGTCCCACTGCCCCTCCAGCCCAGCTGACAGCTCCATACCGATGTACTGGGGGGTCCCGCAGAGGCTCTTGAAGGTGACACCATGCTCCAGCTTCTGGGCCAGGCCAAAGTCGATGATCTTGATTTGAGGCTTGGGCACATCCTTCTCCTGCAGCATGATGTTCTCGGGCTGCGTGGAGATGGGTGAGGAACAATAAAATGCCCCAGAACCACCCCCAGGTAGGATGCAGCCATAGGGTGGGGGGGGACACCCTGGGTCAGCCAGGGACCTGCACAGGCACCTTGAGGTCAAAGTGGGCAATGTGGCGCCCATGAAGGTACTGCACCCCAAGAAGGATCTGCTCCAGGAACTCGATGGCCTCCTCCTCCAACAGCATCTCCTTCTCCGCAATAAAGTCAAAGAGTTCCCCACCACGCATCCTGCAGGGCAGGGCAATGCTGGGGGGAGGTCTGGGGGGAGCACAACACCAGCACCCCCCCCTCACCCAACTCCAGGACCCCGCTCACAGCTCCAGCACCAGCACCATCTCAGCTCTGCATGTGAAGAGGTCGTGCAGCTGCATGATGTTGGGGTGCTGCAGGTCCCGCAGGATGGCCACCTCCCGTTCCACCTGCACCCTTTCCAGGCCCCGCCGGCTGCCCCGGCACCGCCGCGTCTTCACAAATTTGGCAGCATAGAAAACGCCGGTGCTGCGTTCCTGGCACTTCTTCACCACTCCAAAGTGCCCACTGCGAGGGAAACCAGGGCACAGGTGGGGATGGGGAGGGGGGCACAGCTGCAATGTCACTACTCCGCACACCCCACACCACCCTACTCACCTGCCCAGCGTCTCCAGCAGCTCATACAGCTCCTCCACACTGCGTGCATGCAGGGCGACCGCCTGCAGGAGTGCACAGACCTGGCTTAGCCAGGCGGCACCCCCTGGTACATGCTGCAGGGGGGTTCACTGGTGTCTCCTCTCCCAGTTTGCACCCCCAGGACCCTTCCTGTTGCTCTCACCTGGGGGCTGTCGGAGGCAGCCCTGCCATCCTCAGCCATGGCTGCAAAGATAAATAGACAGAAGGGATGGGAGGGGGGGCAGCAGGACCAAGAAGAGCCCTCCCAAATCTCACCACACCGATGGCGCAGCTCCCAAGCAAAGAGGGAAACGGAGGCAGGGCGTGCAGCTGAGCGTGCAGTGCTGAGGGGTAGCACCCAACGCCAGAGGCAGGGTCCCCCTCCAGCAGGGAAAAGCACCTCGATAAGGGAACACAACGAGGGAGCACGGGACCTGACGGCTTTGTGCACGGTTGTCCCCATCGATGGCCAAGCAAAGCTGTCTCCAGCCTAGATCCTTCCCCCCTTCCACGCTCTGCTTGCTCCCAGCACTGCCAGCCCCGCTGGATGGCTGCTCTGCACAATGACAGCCCCGTGCCACCCCCAGGCAGCGCAGGCACCCCGCCAGGCACTGCACAGCCTCGGATCCACGTAGGCTGGAGTCTGGTGACCGTCCCCAACATGTGACAGAGCTGTGGGGGCACTGGGGAGGCAGCTTTTGTGGTGACAACGGCACCGTTGTCCCCAAGGCAGTTCTATCCCTTGTGCAGGGCTACGCTGTGCACCCCAGCACCCTTACCTTTGCTCTCAGCTCCGGCGATGGGGATGAAGACCTTTCGTGGGACGGTGCCACACTCTGCTCCGTGCCACTGCTTGCGCTCTGGTTTCCTCGAAGCTGCTGTGATTCCTGGGATCCGCTGGGCAGCGGCTCAGGGAAAAACAGCAGGAAACGCCAAGAGCTGCTCGTCTGCTTCCAAGGTCTCGTGAGAAATCCCCCCACGCTGTCCCCGCCCGGCAGCGCCCGGACAGCTGCAAAGGGGCTGGGAGAGGCCTTGTAGGGTCACATCCTCGAGGAGCAACTCTGGGGCCGTGGCTGCTCTGTCCGCAGCCGTGAGCGCCAGGGTTGCAAACAGGAAACCTGCCTGACCACCGATAGAAATAGTTTAACCCGGCTGCCCGGAGGGGAAACGGTGCAGGGTGTGAGGGCAGGGAGGAGGAACAGGTTTTTTAAGGTGGAGAGAGCCGGGGGGCACCACGCCGTGGGGCTGGGGGTGCTCTGTCCCCACCCGCAGGTGTGCAAAGCTCCAGTGCAGGGCTGCAACCTGGCTCCAGCACAGCTACAGGTGAGGCTCTGTGCAAGAAACAGGGCTGCAGATGGGACAAAGAGGTTTTGCGGGTGCAGGAAGAAGGGAACCCAGCCAGCCCTGCACCCCTCACTGCAACACACCTTGTTGGCACAGCAAGCACCAGGTGCACCCCATGCACCCAGGTAACACTTACGTGGCTGTACAGCCATCAGCAGCTGAACACGCTGAGGGTGAAGGGAAAGAGGGCGAAGAGGTGCTCCCACGGTGCCACCCGCAGCCCCCGCCGTTGTTCCGTGACGTGGCCCCGGCGTGCAGCTCGCCGCTTCCTGCCCATCACCGTGCTCAGTGCAGCATCAGCGTTGCCCACCCCACAGCCCCCGGGTCCTGGTGGAGGTAGGGGTGAGGGCTGGGAGTGGGCTGGGGGGGTGTCCCGGGGGTCCGTGTGTTGAGGTGGGAGCAAAAAGTTGGGAAGCAAGGACTGAAACGGGCACAGAGGGGTTGTTGCCACAATGGATGGCAATGGAGGACAAAGGTGCATGGGGAGCAGGACTCGGTGCTCAGCTCCTTGCTGCGGTTTTGGTGGGCCTTTGCTGCTCCTTTTAGTGCCTCTTTGGATGGGGGACCATTCTGGGTGCACACAGCTCCCAGGTCCTCTCAGTGCTGTGTTAAGGTCCCAGTCTGGTGCTCTCGGCCTTCCAGGACCCCTGTTTGGACAGGCTCGGTCCAGTCCCAGTGACTCAGAGCTGGTGACACAGCGTGGCCGTTTCCACCCCCTCGAGCATCTGCTCAGGATTAACTTTGTTTGGCCGAGTGTTGGTGGGACTCAGATGAGCCCTGCATGCATACAGAGCCGCTGACACACACAGGGTTGGTTCTTCCCAGAGCTTTGGGTTCCCAGCAGCGCCGTGAGGGTGACCAGGAAGAAACAGGGCGAGAAGCAGTACACTATAGGGCAGCATGGGGGGCTGCTGGGACCCTCAGCCCGTTCCTTTCTGCAACCCGAGGACAGGTGGCTCCATGGATGACACGCAACCCCTCTTCATCACCTTCAAACGCATCGCTGGAAACGCAGGCAGCATCCAGCCAGGACACAGCACGACCCTGCTGCAGCCCCAGAGTGTGGAGCAGTGTGATGCACGAGGCAGGAGGGGACAAGGGGCAGTGGAGGGCCCCCAGCCCCAGCTGCCCCTTGCTCCCTGCCACGTGCTGCAGGGCTGCTCTCAGCCCAGGGAGGTTGCAGCATCTCTGCGGGCACGCACCAAACTGTGGTTTGAGCAGACACAATTGCATCGGCTGGGGGCCACGGGCAATCTGCCAGCCTGGTTCCACGGCTTCATCAGTCGCAGGTGAGCAAGGAGTTCCCCAAGGGTGATCCTGCACACCCACGGGATGTTCCCACAGGTGAGGGGATGCCCTGGGATCCATTCCTGCAGGGATACAGAACAGATGCTGCAGGATGAGCCGCTGGGCTGCTTCCTGGTGCGTTTCAGTGAGAGCACAGTGGGCTTCGTGCTGTCCTACAGGTGAGGGATCCCAGCCCAGGGGTATGGGCACGTTCAACCCCAAGCTGTTCCACCACCAACCCCTCTGTCCTCCCCTGCAGGGGCAGAGAGCGCTGCCGACACTTTGTGCTGGACCAGCTGCCCAATGGGCACTATGTGATCCTGGGTGAGCACAGTGCCCACCCCGAGCTGGCCGAGCTGCTGCAGCACTATGCCCATGTTCCCATCCCTCCCTACGGTGAGCTGCTGACCGTGCCACGGGGACGGGTAAGCACGCCTTCTCATTGCAGCAATTAGCTGCTTCGTTATCCCCAGCAGGACGTGGGAGAAACAGCAGCTTTCCTGCTTCACTGGGGCTGCTTTCTCCAGGGAAATCAGGGAATCCAGGCCAGAGAAATCAAAGCATCACAGCTGGAGTTGGCACTTCATCACCCAACATCACAGCTGGGCCAGTCCTGGCCTCGTGACTGCCTTCCTTTCACCCTTTGCACTTTGCAGGACAAGGCCTGCGGAGTGATGCGCACCCCAGATAGCAGCTCCACATTCCGCAAGGCACCAGCAAACCACCCAGCAAACAGCACCATGGCCAAGCGGGTGCCAGGAGATGGGCAGGCAGCAGAGAGTGGCCCTGAGGAGATAAAGGCAAGGCCTGGGGCATAGAGGTGCTTTCCAGGGCAGCCGGGACATAGCACATGCAAGAGGAAGGAAGGGAGCTGATGGGGTAGGGATGCTGGTGGTCCATGGGGATGCAGCTGGGGTAGGGATGCAGCCAGTCCATGGGGATGCAGCTGGGGTAGGGATGCAGCCAGTCCATGGGGATGCAGCTGGGGTAGGGATGCTGGTGGTCCATGGGGATGCAGCTGGGGTAGGGATGCTGCGGGTCCATGGGATGGGATGGGGATGCAGCTGGTCCAATGGGATCAGCCCCTTCCCCACACTGCCCCCAGCATTCCCTCCCTCTCCAGGTCTCCAACATCCCCCTGCCACTCCCTGCCAAGTTCAGCTCCTCAGCAGCCACCCAGGGACCACGCAGCCGCAACAGCAGCGAAGGAGCAGAAGCCAACAGCCCCTCCACACAGACGCACCTCAAAATCAACCCTGTTGAGATGCTTGATGCCAAGTACCAGCAGCTCATGCGCTTCCACACCTACGCAGAGCCCCACGAGGGCACGGCCCCGCCTGTGGAGCCTATTCCCTTCTATGCCATGGGTTTGGGCTCCAGCCCCAGCGCTGAGGCTAACATCTATGCAGAGGTGGCCACGGTGCAACAAGAGCCACCCCGCCGGGGAGCACGAGGCCCTGGATCCCTGCTGGCTCCCACCACATTTCTGCACTGGCGGTTGTCCCGCAGCCTTTCCAACCAGGGCTTCCACAGAAGGCAGCTGCCAGCGACTCCCATTGCAGGCACCACGCAGAGAGCAGCTCCCCGGCCGGCCCCAGAGGTGCGTTTCCATACATCTGCCATAAGGCACAAGCTCTGGTGCAGGACCAAGCTCTCCAGCCCGGCCCTCACCAGGCACCAAGTCACCATCTCACTAGCTTCCCTTCCCGCAGATTCCTCCAGCCCCAATGAACTCAGCACTGGAGTTTGATGACCCTGCTTACAGCCCAAGGATGAGCAGCACCAAGCAAGCTGCAGCCCTGGAGAACATTTACGAGCAGGTTTCTAGAGGCCATCCCTAAGGCATAGAGGTAGGGCCATGGCAATGCCCAGCCTCTTGTTGGCACAAGGTCTGCCTGCTCTGCTCTTGCAGGGCAGAGGGAGACCCCTGGACCTTGGAGGCAGTCCCAGGCATACCAGCAGCATCCATCAGCTCTGCGTTGGGATTCACACTGCTTCCCAAACCCTGTTTCAAAGGGGATGAGGAAGAACGGATTTAATTTATCTTCGCAGAAAGAGATTGCTATGAATAGAATCAGGGTGGAGGAAAAGGCTATTAGAGCAGAACCAGATGGGTTTCGGGCAGGGCTGGTGCCATCCATGCAGCATTTCACTGGCTGCAAACAAGCCTGGTCCTGCCAACAGATGCCTTGA